GCTCATAGCACTGAACGCTGGGATTTCCGGCCAACAGATGAAGAACTAGCGGCGGTTTCCAAACTTGGAGATTTAAGCATACCAGAGAACTTCCAGCAAACTGCAAAGCCTTTGATGAAAGATACGCCAGAAGCAAAAAATGCAAAATCAACCCCATACTACAGGTCTGTGGTTTGTAGTGTTTTTCAAAGTGTTCTTAATAATTAATGGTTTTAGGAATCCGCAGTCGGCTGAGTTCTGCTCTTGGTTGGGAATTTCAGATTTAAATAAGATGCTTGTGGACAGGGATCCAAACAGTGTGGATATTGCACATTATTTGGTCGAAAGCAGCGCTGATGAAAGCGAAATCCAAATTGATGATGAAGTGGGTTTTATCAATTTTTGGAGTTCTAAGATCGTCAAATTCAAGAATTTTTTACTCAATGTTCTCCTTTTCTTTATTTCATAATAGTCATCAAACATTGCAATACCTCGTTGTTCAAGTTTTCAGATTTTCAACGATGGCGAGGACTTCGTTCTTGACACGCAGCCAACACCAGATGTACTTGATGATTTTGTGCCACCAAAGCTGACTCCAAAAACACCTAAAGAAAATCAGCTTAATCCATTAGATGACTTTAACCCGCCCAAACTCACTCCAAAAACACCCAAAGATCCGACACCTGATGTTTTAGACGATTTTGTACCTCCTAAGATCACACCAAAGACTAAAATCGATGATAGTAGTGATGATTCGTTTGTTTTTAAGCGTCGTAAAGTTGATATTCCCGATGAGGAATGAGTTGCTCATAGCTTTTGCTACCTCGTTTTCCTTTCACTACCTAAATTATTGCTGATCTTATCTATCATTCATTTGCATTTGGATCTCATTTTATTCTTAATAAATTTCTTGTTTTAAAAAGGCAAAAAAGAGCATTTGCAGTATAGTTTCATGATAAAGTCTTTCAATTAGACAGGAAACTATAAGAATAGAAAAGCAGCTAGAAATGCGAGTTATAGACAAGAAATGTTATATCTGTATAGCTAACTTCTCCGTTGTATCTATTCTGTCGAGGAAGATGGCAGGTAGTTTTTAGGCAAGAAGTTAAAGAAGAAGATCTTGTAGTTTGACTTACTTTTTCGATTATGGGCTTTGCATCAAATTCTTAGCGAATACTGATGCAAAGGTAAAACCAACATAATGAGTGCTACAGCTCTGGTTGGGATTTGATTTCTTCTACATCCTAAAATACATTTTTAGGAATCTTCTGCGTTCTAAACCAACAAAAGTGAAAGAAATGTGTGGCTTATCTTAGCTTGCTGTGAACACTGAGATTTTAGAGAACAATCTAGCACTATAGATCCTAAAGACACTACATTTTGAAAATTATCGTGCGACTAGTCTG